TAATAAAATAAAAATAATAAAAATAAGAATAATGAAAATAAGAATAGATAATAAAAATAAAAATAAAAATAAAAATAGAAATAAAATTTAATTTGACCCGAAATTAAAGGATTTGGCCAAATTATCTTCGTCGTCATTTAATTCTGGTAACAACAGTATTAAACTTGCTTTTTCATAATCTCCTAAAAATCTACAAAAACCTATTAATTTGTTCAAAGTAAGCCTTTACATAGATTTAAAGAAATTTAAGTGCCAGGAGTTTAAATTTAAGGTTTTTTCTATTTTGAACTTTAGTAGATAAATGCATAAAATGTCAAGATCAATTGCACCTTGCTCATTTGCTGCACTTGCTGAGAAATATTCTGAGAATCATTTGAGATAAATATGTTAAATGCAATGGAGAATGAAGCAAAAGATCATTTAAAAACTATTTGCTAAGTAATTATTCAAAGTATGCTTTTACAAAATTAAACATTGTAACAAATTCTCAATAATTTATTCATTTTTATAGTTCCAATCATATTAAAATTATTTACAAGCAATAGTGGAATGAAATTAAAACAATTATAATAGTGAGTGAATGATAAGCAGATAGAACAGTAATATAATATATATACACATGCATATACAAAATTTGGCATAGAATTTTTTATGAATTGATTTATAATATATTTCATGATACTATTTATTAGCTTATAATTTTAATAACAAGTTTCCCAATAAATGAGTGACAGGTTGATAACTTGAACAATTCATCAGTATATTCAAAAATTATTATGGTAATTTTATGATTATTTTTTGATAGGCTTGTAAAGCAGTTAAAAAAAACATAATACATAATTTTGGAAGTTATATTATTTTAATTTCATTTTTATTTTGTTTTTTTGCTAGATTGTCTATCATTACAATATTTAGAAATTCCATATTTGGTAATAATCCTGATTGTATTAGTTGTGTGACATGTCCTACAGATCAACAATGAAGTTTATTTTCCAGTGATCTATACAATTTTTTATTAATAAAATTTCGAATTGAATGTCTTCATACCCTCGTTTGACACCCTTGTTGTTAGCAATTGCCACCAAATTTAGTACATAACTTCTTTGTCATATGTATCTTTAAAAACTTTTTGAAGCAAGTTGTTAATAAAACTGAAAATAATCTCAGCCTTAGAGTCAAATTTTGACTTTATATTCATATATGTAGAAATTTGTTAGTGTGTGCGAAGGTAAATAAATATTTATAGAATCATGTTCACTTTGCTTCCTAAAGTATGTCTTTATACTACTATCATTTATTTTAACAAATAAAGTATGGTTTATACTAATATATTAAATTTTAATTATGGAGGCCAAACATTTTATAGTAAAACTTTATTATGGTGTGAAAAATGATTGATTTTTATGAGCAATATTAATATTGGATGTAAGGAGTTGATTAGAGTTGATGACCTTTTCCATCCTTGAATCTCTTTAGCTGAGGCCCTTGAATTTATGTGATCTAATTCAAATAGAAAAACAGAATTTTTGGTGCATTGTACTAATGACACATGGGCTGATCTCATAGAATTTGACCGGTTAAAGGTATAATGATTATAAAAATATATTTGCATGTTTTAGCAAAGATGTCTGCCAAAGTCTCTCAAATCTCTGTGTATTAATCACACTTCTTTTGATTCATATTGTTCTTCAACAATACTAATAAAGGATTGCTTGAATCCTATTTCAGTTGGATATTTTCTGAAAGTTTTTCTTCACGCATCCTATAATTTATTTAAAGCTCGTAAATTATTATAATAAAATTTTAAAAAAATATAACTGAATATACCTTATGCCAAATTTTATCTTTTTCTTTTATAATTTGAGAAAGTCGAGTCTTTCAATTCATCAGAAAACTTATTAAATTTCTTATCTAACTTTTTTACCGCTATATTTGTTTCTTAATTGCAATTCAGTGGTTTTTTCTTAATAAAATCATGAATTGTCTCAATGTATTAAAATTAGTATCACCCTCTCTATATATAATCGTGTAGTTTTCCAATTTGAATTCCCGTGAATAAATTATTTTAATTTATTAATTGAATATTAATTTCGGATATTTTAATTTTGGCGGATGTCGAATATTCTCACGGGAATTGAAATTGGCGGATAAATTTTGGCGGAAAACTACACAATTATTCTCTAATATTACCTATTAAAAAATTTTTTTTCAATAGCCCAAAGTAAAAATTTTCCAAAAAATATACGTTTAAAAAGATCAATGCCATCACTACATATGTATGAAACTAGTTGGTCTTCTTGTTGGTGATGGTGATGTGATTGTTGATTGAGAATTATTTATTAGCTGATGGAGAAACAGTATTATTAGTTGATGAAATAATTTGTTGACAAAGGAGTAATAGCATTCATTATTAGTTAGCTGATGGAATAATGGTATTAATAATCGGAGGAGTAAAATATTAGTTGATGGAGTAATAGCATTAGTATTATTGTTTGGTGGATTAAAAGTCGAGTTTTTTGTCTTTTGCTTGAAGAATTGTAGAAATATTTTACAAATTATTGATATCCATCCATGACTCAAGATTTGAAATTTTGCTGAACTTACCTTGATTATATTGATTTCCATAAACCTTGTAGAATAATCGGAAACAACTTTAGTTTATTAGTACTACTTTTTTTTTGCCATTTTGAATAAATAGATTACGCGGGTTAATGTTAATTAACATTAATATTAATAAAATATTTCTTACGCGACAAAATTTTTTGGGTAACACGCAAGTTAATGTTAAAAGGATTAAATCAACAACAACAGTATACATTCAGCCCAAATTGATTTGTGAATGTCATAATATTACGACATCTGAACGATAGCTGTAATTAAAGCCGTAATGTCGTAATTAGGTCGTAATAGATAAAGACACTTGTCGTAGACTTCATACTATATCCTGATCACGTTTCTTGGTGGGTGCCCTTCTTAGCTGTTGCTCCCTACTCAAGTCAGGTACATTTCCCAAAATTACTAAATAAAATTCAGAAATAGAAAATAACAAAAAAAAGTATCGCGTAATAATTCTTTCTGATCGTACACAAACAGATCTTTAATAATTAATAGTATATAATAATTAATAATAAATGGTCGCATAAAAATTCCTTCTGATTTCGTTTAACCATTAACCTTTGAAAAAGAAATCATGCAAATACCTTTTAATTTAATCATTACATTCCTAAATTTATATAAAAAATATTAATTACCATATTTTATTTATTATTATGATATAATTACTACTAATTATTAATCATTTTTTTTAGACCTGGTGGCGTAAGATCAGAATAAATTGTTGCGCGACAATCGAATTAGTTGTTATTATTATATGTGACTACTATTATTCTTTTCATTGCTTAAATATATTTTAGTAAGAAAACATGCAAATTAGACTTCAGTAAGATTTCTATTTACAGTCAACCCTCGTTTCAACGGATCTATGGGACTGACCACCTAAATCCGTTGAAACGAGATAATGATCTACAGGAAAATTTTAATAATAATAAAATTTTTTGTGATTTAAATATAATAAATAATACTTAATACAATACTTGATATAATTTACAAAAATTAAATGCTAATTAATAGTCAATTATTTACTGAAAAAACTAGTAACGTTTGTTTGTATTGAATTTCGAATACTATATGATTTTTTTTTTTTTTTTTCAATGATTTTAAAGCTTTTAATTCATTATAATCTGCTTGTATATTATTTTGTTCAAGAAAATTAAAAGCAGTTTCAAAA